AATAAATATTATAACTTCAACAAACAGCTATTCTTTAGCCCATAAATAAATGATTAGGGTAGGGAGGAATCATCCAGTCAGTGCATTCTGGACTGAAAAACATAGCAAGCATATACTTAATCTTCTGTACAGTCCTCTCCTTCTGACTACAGATATTATTATTATGATTCTTCGTCACTTCTAATACCTATCACAGCCCAGTGAACACCTGGTGAGCAAAGTTTGCTCCTTGGTCTGTATGCATATTTTAGGTGCTCCAACGGCAAACCTACCATTGTGTGAGCTTTAGCACTGACTATAGTATAAGTTTTGGTCCATTTTGTAAATAATCAAGTACAACATGTAAATTCAAGTATCATGAGTTGTTTCAGGGAAAGGCCCAGTGATGTATAGAATAATCCTATACACAAGCCAACCAACAATTCATTGTCTTAATTAACAATGTTGAGGTAAAAACATTTCTGTGGGTTGCACACATAGTACCACTGCTCTATGTCTCACTGTGATTTTGGCTACTAGAATTTAACAAGTAAGTTAACTATAGCATATAGCATTCCATAATGTCTTCTGGTCCTCTTGTTATGAAGCACCCAAGATATTTTCTCCCTAAAAGATCTTAACATTAACAACTGTATGGTTGTCTTAACTCCACATCTGTTTGAGTTATATCATCCACGCAGCTAATCATCCCTAATCTCTAGCTTAGTACATAAATATTAAACTACCTGAACTCCAAGGCTGCAACTCTTTCACTATACTGGGTAGTGATGTATTCACAATTTTTTTCCTGTTTAACTGCATTAATACGTAAGAGGTGTGGAGCCTTAACTATTCTGCTTAGAATTTCGCTAATTCTTGTTGCAGTGTTCAAACATCGACACTTTTACCCTGTCCAGCCGTGTTTAATGAATCTGTTGTCACTATAACTTGTCTTATTACCAAACAGTGACTGGGATAAAGACACTGGGTGAATACACATGCTTCTTTTCTCTCAGGCTGCTATGAAAGCCAACTTGCATTCAAATGTAACATAATTGAATGGCACTATATCTTAGTTGCCTATAATGTTTCTTATTGCTTAATGTTGATAAGCCATTTAGTAAAGCAAGGTCTACTCTTCATGGATTATTTTCTTTTTTTTCTTTGTTTCAATTTTAGAACAAGTATGAGATTCTCAGAAGCTGTCTCAAATATTGTTCTAAAGACCAGAACATCATTTCTGCTTATACCACGAAAAAGTCTCATTTTAGGCTACACATTGCTAATTTTACGAGTATTTCAAAGGTGGCTAATATTTTTACAGGCTTAATGACATGCATTGGAAGTTAAACAACCCTTCTTACATGGCAAAGGTTATTTTAAGATCACTTTCTGCATCCATTCAAATTGCAAGTAACATGACACCAAGAAATCAACAGGAACCTTTTTCCATGTCAGAAGGAATGTATTTACCGGATTTACTACTTCAACTTATAAAAATCCATGCAGAACCTTGGTGTTACTTTCCTTTCTTAAATATGAGAAGAGACAATGACTACGTACCCTATGACAGCTATAATATTCATTCCTGCTGCATTCCTTCTATCTGTGTTTTTATCAGCTACTTCAACATTATTTCTTCCACCACTGTGAACTAAATGCATGGTCATACTTCTTACTGGTCTCTCACAGTCTGGTCTTCCATCTTGTGTAACATAGTACTTCGACTACATACTGACTACCTTGGAACTGTAAATAAGTCACTCAAGCTGGACTTATTACAGCTAGGACCCTCTGACTTTTTGGCATTCCAACCTTAAAGCTTCAATGCCTAACCACTCCTCTCACTTTTTATGAGTGGGGAAGCATTTAATGCCTACTGGACGTCTCTCTCCCAACAGCCACGTAATGAGACATGAAGAGCCTGCTACATTGTGGAATAACACTTCCAAAAAAGATTTTTTTTCTCGTTCGTCTTGTCTCCTCACATGTCCTCTTGTTTTTTATACCGAAAATAGACTTCCAATGATAACGTAAGTGCTCCTGTGTTGCCGATATATGGTTCACGTTTCACAGAAACAGGCATGGAATAGTAGTTAGCATGCCAGACAGTGGATCCAAGGGTTCATGGTTCACAACCCGTTGCTGCAAAAATAATGCTCTATGCTTTGTATACAGAATGAAATACCAATCCCACTATTCTAATAAAGAGTTAATGGTACATGCTGTTGACTAACTGTCTTTCTTCTAGCTTATCAATTCAAAATTATAAATGGCTATACAGGTATCTCTTGTGTAGCTTTTGTCAAATATCCAAAATAAACAGTCATATAATGAGAGTGAAAGTAAATGTTTATTTCATAAATAAAACAACAATTTCGTTTACAACATCAATGTGGCATATGAAACATCTATGGTAAAAATAAAACTTACATGTACTCTTTGTGACTTCCCAGGCTGTAACTGCATATGATAGAGACAAGACAGTGTCAGAAAAACACCTGGCAAATTCTGACCAATAATTATCCTTACTTACAATTGTAGTACAATTTTAAGCCCCTATAAAGTTTCTCAGAATATCAACTAACCCACTTCATTAGACAAGTCCTATTAACAGAAAAAGGAAACCAGAGTTTCTCACATATCTACCTCCACGCGTGGTTAACATGCCAAACAACCTGCTGAAAACAACTCAGTAAAATATTCAGCGAGCAGGCCAGTGCTAACATGAGCATGTTTTGGCTTTTACCAGAAAAGTTGTGTTCTCTTAAGCAAAAGTTAATTTGTTGGTTAAAAAACTGGAGATTAAACATTCCATCTATATTAAGTTAGAAAACAGTTTAGATATCACAGACATTCTAGTGTTAGAATTGTTGACGAACTGCTCATGCTTTTTTTAAATGGGTAGAACATTTGGTCTCTGTGTTGAAGCCTTCTTCAACTAAACTGCTCGTGCCTTATTTTTATTTTATTTATTTTTTTTAGTGGGACGATTTTCAGTTTTCTAAGCTGAGGATTGTTTGAAAAAACATCTTCTCATTCAAGAAATATGGTAAAGCAGTCCATTAAACATTCAGCTGAAAACTTTGTCATAAATAGAACAATTTATAACTATTTGTTAAAAAAAATAATCTTAAATCACTGATAGAAATTCAATATAAGTCTCATCCTGGCAGTAAGAGAGGTATTTTCAGTCAAATAATATATTTGCACAAAAATGTATTTTATTAACAGAAGCACGTAGAAGAGCTTTCTTATGCTAACCAGAAGACAACTTATAGACATCTTCATGAGGGAAAAACAATCATAATTTTTCTTTTTATTAACAGTATAAAGCATCAGAAGGAGAACTTTCTTATGAACCAGAAGACAACTTCATGAGGGGAAAAAACATTTTCTCTTGTTAAGCTTATGTTCGACTTCTGGAGAATTAATAAACTACAATCCAAACACTAACATGAAAGTTTCTTCTGCTACCTGGAAAACACTACACCGTTAACTGATTGATAAACCATAAATTAAAAGAAATCTTTACCAATCAGGAGATTCTGCCTACCACGTTAAAGAAGGAACCTAAAGACTATTCATTCCTGTGTAGTTTAAATCTTAGAGCAATTGTTTATTATTAATCTGTTAAAGAAACAAATGCCAACACCTTAACAATTAAATTTTCCACCTCTTAACTGGAAAACAAGTTGGCAGAAATCATGGTAAAGAAATACATCTCATACAATGCCTTCAACCTAAACTTCCACTTTTGCTCAAAGAGAAATCGAAACCATCTCGTCGTTAGTTAAAAAAAAAATTGAGTAAAAGCATAGAAAATTTTCTTCCTGTTTACCATACAACCATAATAAAATATGCTGTTGATAAAAAAAGAGCATCAACACAGCGTTCACATGAAACAATATTAGCTTATTTTTCACGTTAGCTAGTTTAGTATATATATATACACAATATCATAGAAGATGCCTGAAGAGAACGTAGATAAATATCAAGCATATATATGACTCCTTGACATCCCTTTACAAATAATACGTCTTCTCGAAAACTATTAAAAACCGGTAAGTTGTATGAAAGTTAACATAATTTAAACATAATAACAAACTAATTATTCTTTTTTTTAACTGGAGAAGAATTAACAAGAATTTAGGCCGATCTACCGAACATATATATATATTAAGTACAATTCAGTTAATGCTCTGTCTATGTGTTTAAATAAGGAGCAATCAAAATTATTTACAAATGATATAAATATGACTAGCAGTTTACCCAAGCCAATTGTGAGTGAAATTGTATAAATATTACAACTTGTGTAAGCGATCCACGATGTTAATCGAGACAATTTACTGCGATTTAATAGGATAATCAAGCTGTTTATTAACTAGTTAAGTAAAACATTTGCAGAGGTAATATCTATTCATGTTGACCTTTGGTTTCAGTGTCTTAGTTTCTGGATATGTATAAGCAAAACTCTATGAGTCAGAGATGGATTGGGATTAAAAAACGGCCCCCGAGAAAATCTGTATATCGACTTTTCAGTAAAGTCAGCAAGGGATTCCTGAAAACTGAGCATGGCACTACGCTTAATGGTGCATAGCCTATAATATGTACTAGTAATATTCATACAGTCCACAAAAATAAATTTTTCAAAATATTTCATTTATAATCCAGTGTTTATTATATCTACTACCCAGCTTAGTAAAGTATGGACCTATATAACCACAAAATTACATAAACTGAACCTAATTCACACAAAAATAATTTTGAAAAAGTAATGTAATAACCCGTTTACCGCTCCTCCGCGCTACTAGCCGTTAACTGAAAACTGAGCACACAATCTAAATAGTGTTTAAAAAAATTTCACCAAAAATTTTCCTAGTGTCTTAAAATTAACGGCCCAATCGGCCCCTGATACAGTAGTGAGGCTGAAAAAACGAACAAGACAGATATGAAAACCAGGTGCATTAAACTTGCTATCTAGCTATCGCCTGACATGTATGCACAAAAAATAAACTTACCTACGTCTGATAGACACGAAAGCTAAGTGATAAATGTATGGTTTTCTTCCCTACTGCTAAACATCAACGCTTCTTATCCCCGATTGGTGTCCTTCAATCACGAGCTGTCGTGATGTTCTTGTTACAAAGTCCACAAAGTGTGTGTGTGAACATGACGTAACACTATTTCTTATCGACTTGTAGGAAGGTCTTGGAATAATACTTAGCGTTATCATTGGAAAGAACAATTGAAAATGTACAATAAAGTTGTTTTTACAACGGGTGTAAAACAAAAGGAATTATATCATTAACATACCCTCACAGCCATCATTGACGACATACTCTTAAAAACATTTTAACCTTGACTGAAGTAGTAATTAACATAACAATTGAAGGATTTAAGAACTCTTTTTATTTACTACATTTACCACTGCACTGGAGGTAAGCCATAAAACGCTTTAAACAAAATTAACATGACGGCTGAAATGTATTTTACAAAGTATGGATCGCTTGACAGCGTGTGTGTAGAATATATTGAACTCTTAAGTTATGATAAATAAATGGGTGATCTAACAGCAACTACATTCATGCAGTGTGTGTTGAAAATAGCTGAATATTTCTAAATCAGAGGCGATGATGGACAGCGGTCTACTTAGCTGCAAAGTCATCGACAATGTTGACCATTAACTTGATGCCCGATAAGTGGAACTTGGTGCGTGACAAAACAAAGTTGTCATCAATAATCAGGATCACTTGTAGACTGACAGACTTTCAGCAACGCTAGAAAAAAAAAACATTACGATATAACTATCTTCCTTAAATCCGGTTCTTCTTTAAGGCAATTCGTTCAGTTGAAATGGTCATAGATGTTGCTGATGTAGTAATAAATGCTAACAGAAATATGTCGTTCAACAAGTCACATACAGTAAATTGTGGTCATTTAGACCATGAACATATATATATATATATATATATATTAATTAAGGATATCCACTTCTCGTATACATCTATTTCAAACCATAATAATATGTCGGCCGAGTATTTTTTACTTTACTTTTGGGTTGTCATAGGCAGGAGTTTTTATTCTAAATATCCATAACAATTTAATTTTAATATAATATAGAGCTGCTACAGTCAGAAACACGATAAATTTTAGATACTGATTTACTCTGATGATAGTTGGTTGCTCAAGAAGTGAAGAATTGTGGTAAAGGATTTCTTTTGAGCTGCCAGAGTGAAGCTGAAGTTTTTTTCAGAAGTTTTGTGAAGTTCAAACATCGTATATTAAGTATTAAAGGTGTTAATGAAATCAATACGACAGGGTCAATGTTTGTTTTTTATCAGTTTAACTCCAAGGAACGGCTTTTAGAACCTAGATGATAACTCCAGCAAATGCTGAACAATAAGTTAAACAGAATCACTTAGAAGAGCGCTGATTTCCGCTGAATGTGGAAGTAACTTGAACATCAGCATAATATAATGAAAACATTTAATAAACTTCACGCAGAGTTTTACCACGTCCTTCTTGTTCCAGGAATGCAGACTAGTTCCAAAATTATATCGTAGGCCATTGACAGTTGTTGGTATGTTGAAATGGAACTTGCTTTCATAAACAATTACAATCAACTTGTGATAGTTGCTTAAACACATAAAAGTAGTCTAGATATGTTCAGATTCAATGAGTTAAAATATCTTCCTGCTCTCCAGTGTATTCATGAAAAGGAAGTCAAAAATGTTTCAAAAGGTCTATTTGAGGGTGCACTTCTGTCACTAATGATGAACTGAGCAATAAAAGTATAATCTAATATTGTTGTTAGTCTATGTACTGAAAGTATAAAATGAAAATGAAATATATAGACAATAAAACTGGAAAAATACTTGAAGATTTCTTAATTTAGAGTCTCCCTTGATAAACGAAGTTTGTTTTTTATTAAAAACTTTGGTAATATAACAGAAAATAGCTTAATTTCAAAAATTGAATCGATATTTCATGATAAGTTTTATGCACTTGGCTCTAGGCTATGTGATCCCACACTACGTCTT